AAAAAAAAAAAGTTCAAGTCAAATCTCCCACTCAATGGTCAATATCCCCTTTAGAACATCCTTACCACTCATTCAATTTCTGTTTAGTGTCAAAAAATCTAACTAGCCCATTCCATTTGTTATGAACAACCCAACTGTTCTTATGTTAAGCTAAAATCCAATTTCCTGTCATTTTCAACCACTGATCCACACTTGTCCCAGTTCTGTCCTCTGGAATGACAAAAAAAAAGATGATATAACTTCTACAAGACAGTTTTTTAAAGTCTTCATGTACTATTATGATCCTCTTCCTCTTAAATCTTCTAGAACTAAATTTCCCATATTCTTCAAATGGTTTAGTTCCTATGTGTTTCATTATTCTAATCATTCCCCTCTTAAGATAATCTAGCTTCTCAATATGCCTCTTAGAAGGAAATACCACAGCTGAACACAAAATTCCAGATCTGATCTGACCAATGCTGTTACTTCCTTTGTCTGGGTCACCATAAGCACCACAATACAAGACCAGTTGCAGGCAGCATATGATTCATTTCCAAATTAGTGGCACTGTTCAGACCACAAGTGCTCTGAGGGTTTAAAGGAAAAAGAGATCACTGTGGACTGGGGACCTCAAGAAATTTTCAACAACAAAAAAGTAAACTGTTAGCTGGGAAAGGAAGAATACACTTTAGATAAGCAGAAAATACAGAACGAGTATTTCAGGGGGCACAAGTGCAGAACAGAGCAGAGAGGAATAAACAGAGTTAGTGCTAGAGCAAAGTCTGCATATAGATAGGCAAGAATAGAAGGCCATTTTTTTTAAGGAGGGCTGGCGTCAGAGTATTGAGAGCCTTAAAACCTGCAGGCAATAAGGCATGATTAAAAGGTAAGACAAAAGAACTGACTTCTTGAATGAAATGCTTAGGAATGATTAAATCAATACCAGTTTGCCAATTTCTATATCAAGTTAACTACTTTTTGAACTCTGACTGCATAGGAAGTTTCTAATTGATTCTACTCCAAGATAAATTGAAATTGAGTTGTAATAAATATCACTACATAGGCTGCTTTCAGAATATAACATTCCTACTACCAAAATATAATGCAAGGAATGTCATTTTAGAAAGATGTATTTTGTGCTGGGTGCGGTGGCTTATGCTTCTAATCCCAGCACTTTGGGAGGCCGAGACAGGTGGATCACTTGAGGTCAGGAGTTCAAGACCAGCCTAGCCAACATAGTGAAACCCTGTCTCTACAAAAAATACAAAAATTAGCTGGGCCTGGTGGTTCATGCCTGTAATCCCAGCTGCTTGGGAGGCTGAGGCATGAGAATCGCTTGAACCCAGGAGGCGGAGGTTGCAGTGAGCCGAGATCGCGCCCCTGCACTCCAGCCTGGGTGACAGAGTGAGACTCTGTCTCAAAAAAAGAAAAAGAAATGAAAAGAAAGATGTATTTCAATTCATTTCTGTAAGTTTTCCCAGAATGAATACCTTGCCATTCATTATGAATATCTGCATATAAGGTACCTGTTTGTTTCAGTAATTAAAATCTTCTGGATCTCTATTCAAAAAGACAATGACCTGCTGATCTCTGTTTATCCAGATTCAAAATAGAAGAAACTCCACTAATGTAACATTAAAAAGGAAAGAAGTTAGCTAAATAGCAGAATTTCTACACAATGAAACCTGTCTGCTATTAAAACAAATGAAAACACCAGTAGTAATTTAAATTCAGTCAAATAGGAATGTCTGATTTACAAGTGCTCCTGCCTAAAGGGTCTTTCATAAGGACTAGCTCTGTAATACAGCGCGGCAGTAGAGAATTAAACTGTCAAAGAGACACAGCAAAGCCCAACCTCTCCCAAATCCTGCTACTCAGCAGCAGGGATCTAAAGGAATAAATACATTCCCAGCTGCTGAGAGAAATGTCTTACTAAAAGCAAAGCAAAATTCTCATTAATGAAAAATCAACCATGAAAAACTGTATGTCTCATAATCCCCGGAAATGGCCAAATCCATTTTGGGTTAATGCAGATTTAACAGAACAGTGGAATAGAACAGAGCAAAGCAGTTCCATTTGCCAGCAGCTGGGGGGAACACCGTTACTGTAGAAATCACAAACAACAACAATGCTTCTAATCTGTAGAGCCAAAAGAAATATGAACTCTATCCAGTAAAAGGTATCAGGAAAAGGCTCTAGTGAAGGCTCTAGTTGATAAATGCTCTCATTTACAATCAAGACACATCAGATATGATAGGCTGTAACTTGAATTTCCCGAGATCAAATTAAATGGCTAATCCAAACCCTGTGTTTTTCTGATCAGATAATCTCTCTGAAGTCACAGTACTTGCATTCATTCAAAACCAGCATTAAGCTTCTACAACGTCAGACACTAGGAATACAAAAACTAATAAGAAACAGTCTCTACCCACATGGAGCTTAGTTTGCATACCATGCCTCATCTTAAACCCCAAAGCTCTTGCTTTAAGATGTCTTCTTAGATGGGTCAAGTGTCCTCAGGGGAAAAGCAATAATGGCCCTTCACCTTGAGTTACTGTGAGGCAAGCTAAAATAAAAATAAAAATAAAAATAAATCATACCTCTTATCCTCAAAAGCAGTTACCACATCCTCCCAAGTGGAACAGAATAATCATCTTAGCCTATACTACAGGTTAGTGTTCAGGGAAGTGGCAGGGCACAAGACAAGCAATAGAAGGGATGTGACAGCTGTACCACTAACACATTCAAAGTGTGATAAAAAGAACCTGCTACTAAGCATACTGTAGTGTTACGGTGCAAGGAGGAGGAGGAAAAGAATGAGAGGCGGCCCACCATTCACAGGCACCAACCATCCGCGGTCTCCTAACTCGTCCACTCTCACTAGAGAACCTCAGTCACTGTTTAATAGGATCTGAGCCTGCCGGCCAACAACGTTGTCACATGGCTACCAGAATGGGGAAATAATCCTCCCTTGCAGGAACGTGGGGGAAAACAAGAAAGAGTGGAAACGACTCAAGCGTTTGTAAGTGATTGTCAACATAATCGTCCCCCAAAGCACGGACGGGATGTAAAGTTTGGGAGAGACGGTCACCGGACGCCCACTGGAAGGGTGCGGGGACCTCTACGCCGACACCCCGCCTCCCCGCGCCAGTCCGCGCACTCACCGCGCACGCAGAGCAGTGACATGGCCGAGGCGCGGGCAAGCCTCTACCGCGCCCCAGCCGCGCCGCGGCGCCGGGCCGCTCCCTCTTTCCGCTCAGCAGGTGCCGCGACTGCTCCCGTTACCGGCCCTACGGGTCTGGCCGCTCCTCATGGTCCCGGTCGCAGGTAGCGTCCCGCCGCTGCCTCGGACCCGCCCCAAATCTCACCGTCTGAGCGACCTCCGGGTAGCGGTGAGTACCGACGGGCAGGCTGGGGACTGGGCGCGGCACCGCGACGCCATCGCTGGGAGGTAGGAGCGGCCGGGACTCCCTCCCGTCATTCCACCCGGAATCCGCGCGAGCGCCTGGGCAGAGCCAACCCGTGGCGCCCCGCCCCCCAGCCAATTAACTCACGCCCA